TGGGCAAAAGAGTGAGACTCTGTCTCAAAAAAAAAAAAAAAAGAAGCCACCTTGGATGCAGCCATTCTGACACTCGTCATGCTTTGGGGAACAAGGGCTGAGCATTGCTTAAAGACTTAAAAAGCTATAGTCATGATTTTTCCAGGCTCTGAATAGAGGGTGGAAATATATGCAAAGGCAGTGAGGAGTGAGATGGAAGACTGACTTTTTTCATACATGCCAGATGGATAAACCCCAAAGGGAAACAAAGCTGTCAAGTCGACGGTGAACCAATGGATAGCATCATGCCATAGTCTGCTCCTCAAATAACATCATCCAGCTGGAAGTTTAAGAGAACTTTGGATCAGTAGGACCAGCTAGCAAGTGCATCAAGTGCAACTGGCCAAATGCCAACTGATCTTCAGAGCAGGTATACTAAGATGTAAGACAGTTGGGTATTAAAAACAAAAACAAGAAGTATGCTAAGGAAATAGAATACACAAAGGACATCCCTCCTCAAGTTATCCCCTTGCTAACCAAGGAGAATACAGAATGACATATAACTTTAAGTCTGAAAATTAGACTTGAAGATAAGTCTATGTAGAAAAACACAGCTGCTACTCCATTTTCAGAGGGGAAAAGGAATAATACCATGTTCCTGGTGTTACATATGACTTTTCTTTTTGGTTGGGTTCATACCATAAATAAAATCTCAGAAGTTCTGGAAATAAGAGACTAAATATTGGATTTCATTAAGAACAAACAAGATTTTACAAGTAACATGATTAAGCAACTATTCAAAAATCTAAAGAAGGCAAATCCCATACTGGATCATGAGAAGACAACCATTTTCTTCTTATTTGCAGAATGAGCCACCTTTAGAAATGCTGGCTTTATATAAAGACTTATCTTTTCCCAAAACTAATAAATAAATAAATAGTCTTGTATCCTACTGTAGGAAGCCACTACAGTCGTGGAAAGATCCAGGTGAGCAATGGACCATAAAATGATACCAAACAGCAGAACTAAAATGTCAGAGCTCCAGCACACTGTAAAGTCTCTCTCTCTCTACCTAGAAATTGGAAATAAGACTACTCCCTCCTTGGTGTTCTGGGATAGTTCAGGTCAGGAGAGAGTGTGATAGCCAAGATTTCCTTAAGCAATGAATGGAAAAATAGACATGTGACTATATTAACACCCCAAGACAACATATACTGTAATACTAGAAATGATGGGGTTGGGTTTGTTCACTTTATTATTAACTATTTTGTTTAATCTCTACCTCATTCAACAAAGGATTTAAGGCTGAATTATGTAAACCTCCTTCTTTCCTTCCGTACTTGGCACTTTCAGATCTACTGTCTCTAGTTGAGACAGGATGGGATTCCTTTAATCCTTTGTACTGATCTACAAATTACCTACATGTCAAAGCTCTTTACTGGTCTGCTTTGACTTGGTTCGTTTCTCTATTAGGGAAGCAATCACGAACCTGCTTGGGGGAAGACACTATAAGAACAGGAAGCAGGGGGGTGTAGAATCTTTCTTCCTTGGATAAAGTTTGTTCTAGAATACAGAAGAGAAGCAATGTCCAGTTAAGACTGGTCTGTTTACTTTCTCAGTAAATTATCTAAATAATTCAGCAACATATTTTTGTGCTTGATGCAGAGGACACAGTTAAAAAGTGCCAAGCAGACGCAGAGAGAAAGGAACGCTTCTACATTGCTGGTGGAATTGCAAACTAGTACAACCTCTATTGAAAACAGTATGGAGATTCCTCAAAGAAATAGATGTAGATGTACCATACAATCCAGCAATCCCACTACTAGGTATCTACCCAAGGGAAAAGAAATCATTTTATCAAAAAGACACCTGCACTTGAATGTTTATCTCAACACAATTCACAATTGCAAAGATGTGGGATCAACCTAAGTGCCCACTACTTCATGAACGGATTAAGAAAATGTGGTGTATATATAGTATGGAGTTCTACCAAGCCATAAAAAGGAATGACATATTGTCTTTTGCAGCAAACTTGGATGAAATTTAAGACTATTATCCTAAGTGAAGTATATCAGGAATGGAAAAACAAACACCACATGTACTCTGTAATAACTTGGAGCTAATCGCTGGGCACACACATGGGCACAAAGAGATGTAAAGGTCATAGGAAATCTAGAAAGGGAGAGGGGGTGGAGAGGAGGGGTAAAAACCTGCCTAACAGATACAGCGAACACTATTCAGGTGGTAGGCACACTAAAAGCCCTGACTCAAGCATTACAAAAGGTATCCATGTAACAAAAGCATTTGTACCCCCTTAACATTTTGAATAAAAAAATGAACTAAATTGTTCAACTGGAAATCCCTTTGGAAAGAAAATGAAATAAAAATGTATTGAACATTAAAATTATGTATTATTGTATACATAATATTAGCAAGAAGATAGCAAAGAATAATTTCCATAATAAATATTCCTGTTCTTTTTTTCTAGTTTGTTTCATAATTGAATAGCAACTATCACTGAAGTATGACAAAAGAGGGCTATTATCATAAATGTTAGTTTGATCTTGCAAGAATATTTGATTACCTTCTACTCAGACTCTACTTTATTCACTTGAATAGAGTTTCTGCTTTTCATCAGCCTAACGTTAAGTGTCTTTGTTGTATTCAAGGACTACCCTGAAATATGACTCTTCCGCGGTGCCAAAATACTTAATGACACATCAGTGAAACTGACTTAGCATCATCTTTCCTCAAGTCAAAATATATATTCTTTCATGTTAAAAAATTCTCAGCACTTCTGGTAACGTCTGCCAATCGTTTTCCTTCATGCTTCTTTTAGTCTGACATTGGATGTAATTGAAGAGTTAAGTTTATCTTGGAAACAAACCAGTAAAGATATTTGTAGTTTAAGGATGAGGAGAGTATATATATTTAGTGAATTTTGTGAGCCACTCATTTTAATCAGGGGCAATGGGATAAATTTGGGGGTATCACTGAATTAATCTGATAGTGAACATAGTTATTCATCAAGGAATATTTATCCTTCAATTTCCTTATGTGAATTAAGACATTTACAAACTGAATCTGAAGATCTTGAACAAAAAGGCAAATTTCTCGTCTCACTTCCTCACCAGAGGAAATGATGGTATGTCCTTTCCTCTATTGTGTCTACTGGAGAGTGGTCGAGGCTTTCTCCCACTCTGCATAAGGACAAAAAGCGTTTCTCTGAGGATTACATTAGACTTTGAGATATGGAGATATGGAGAAGAGACTTAGCTGATTATAAAACGAGGCCTCCTACTGAAAAGATTCTGGTCACAGGATGAGATCTTTGTGAAGTTCCTGAGCACATTCAAACTTTAATAACCCAAATTGTGAGTTGCCATAGAAATAATATAGTAAATTATAATTTAAAAGAAATGTATTAAAATTCAGAACTAAATTATACAATGGTATTGAACAAAATACTGTCCAGTACTATTATGCAGCATTATCAGTGCAACTGGGTATTATTTCATTTACTCCTCACTTTCACTACCCACCAAGGTGGGTAGTGCTTCCACACTTTCCAGGTGGGAAAACTGAGGTTCAGTAACCACCCCAAGCCCACCAAACAATATGAGGAAACTCTAGATCCGACCAATTCCAAATCTTCTTTCTCTTATGCAGCAAATTCCAATTCTATGACAAAAAGTAAAAACAAACAAAACCTATCAGGTTCAAAGTATCCGCCACATTATTTAGTGTATCCATCACATTATTCAGGTGATAGATACACTAAAAGCCCAGACTTCACCACTGCACCATCTAGCCAGGTAATGAAATGGCACTTGTACCTCCTAATCTATAAAAATAAAAAAAAAAAAAAGAAAGATGTGTCCCAAAGTTAGGGGATCTAAAATTTCATTTGTTACATAAAAAAATGCATTTTATTATAATATTCAATTTACAGATTGTGTATCGTGCTACAACTACATTAATGTTTAGAAGTTAAAATACTTTCAGAAATAACAAAAGAATGTCCTGAAGGCCTTAGAAAAGTATATTATTTAGTTTTGTCATTTATGCTGCTTTATTTTTCTCTCCGTCCTTATTTTTCTATATTAAGTTTTTGAATTCTCCAATTCTGTGTAATTTTTACATGGCAATATAGAGATTATTTTTTGGAAATAACTTTCAATTGCTATTCCCAAAGTATTTCTCTTATTGGAAGATACAACTGAAGAACAGGGAAAAATGTTTTCCATTGTTCCCTAGGTAGGGCACAGCTTCCTTCCTACTAATACATTCTATCCACGTTAACTCCATGCCACTAATTATTGGCACTGGAAGCTAATATCTGACTTTCACAACCTTCATCCTAACAACAATATATCAAAGTTTCCTAAGTCAACAATAACAGACACTACTTATGTCTCTGGGGAAAAATGTATGATACATTCACATACAATTGTGAAATCTTTTTACAGAAAATATTCACATTAGTTCCTTTTATAGTTTTTAAAAATCCAAATAATCTCTCTATTTGTCCTTTCTGTTTTTACTTTTATAGAAAAATATTTAGGCTAACAATAAACAACAGGTTATCTCTTTCTGGTGGGCAAAGAGACTAGGACTTCTTACATGCCAATGAATTATCTAGTGAAATTCTTAATAATTGTTCCTTCTTTTTAAATTTGCATATAAAAAGAAAAGTTTGTATATCTGATCTAGGCCCTAGTTCTTACTGGTAAATAACAACGTGAACATAATTAGTTGCTTAATAGAATTCCAAAAGTAAAAAATGATTACAATTGCATTTACTTAAGTAATTTGGGCTTGCCTTTGATAAAATTGCTCTGTGTTTATTTTTTTACTGTGTCTGCTACCCAGTATGTCCTGGTGAGATACATTCCCTCCAGAAAAGACAACTATCAATAATAAGTCTTTTGGAAAAAAGACAATTAATTTTTAATACGTGACATTGACTTAGTTATTTCATTATCAAATGTTAAATATTTTCTCTACCTGTATTTACTCACCCACAAGTCCTAAAAGAATGTAGCCAATAATGAACAGTAAGAAGATCATGCAGCACAGAACATCTGTACAACTCCTAAAGACAAAAAGGAATAAAGAATTAAAATAGTTCCAAAATGATTTCTTATTTACTGCATAAAATAAAGGAACGGAGAAAAAGATAATAATAGTGATGTGCTATTTTATATCCAATAATTCCGAAAGGTACATCAGATGTATTTTTGCAATCGGACTTTAGCAGCCACAGAGAGGTCATAGTTCCATAAATTCCTTCAGAATTCCTTCAGAATTCTTAGTATTTATTCTCTCTTGGTTCTTTACTTGTAAAATATTTTTAGAGACTAGAGTATGCCAACATCAAGTAACTATTTTTTTTAAATTGAAATTGTAATTCAAGCTATTTGATTTTATGATTTTCCTCTTCATGCCTCCCTAACCCATGCATAAAATAACCAGTCATTTCCCATTCCCCCTTCTCCATTTTCTTT